AGAAAAAACGGCTGCTCGGTGTTAAAAGAGTGTCACAAATAATGAGGCACATACCAGGCTTTAATGGTGTTCCAGTGGCTCAGTGGACTGAAGGGAATGACTTGTACTCACAACATTATGGGTCAATGTCCTGGGCAGAGATTAAATCTATTCTGAGTTTTCTAGTCTGCTTTAGTTAGAGCTGCGACTCCTTCCAAAAGTCAAACTGAAACAAATACAAGGCAAAAGAAAAAAGTTCACAGACGCCTGTTATCATTTCAAAAGGGGAACGATTTTCATAACTGAAACATATCACGACATGTCTCCACAGGTTTAATCATCACTTCATTGTCAGCTTTTGAGCTGTGTCTCAGATTTTTTAATCAGGGTTTTACCTTAAATTTGTATTGGTTTGTTTGTTTGTTGTTGTTGTTTTTTTTTTAATTTTTAACTAACCTTTTTTCCGTTCCTCAAACTGAAAGAACACCTTTTTTAAAGCAGGTTGCGACCTGTTGCTGAAGATGTCAGACAACTGTGTTTAGCTCTTTTTTTCTATCTTAATCCTTTATTTTTGGGGAGGTTCTGGAGCCAATCCAAGCAGTCAATGCAACCTGGATAATTCACCTCTCCATCATAACTCTTCACACTCTATACCTGTGGCCAGTTTGGAGTGAACAATTGACTTAATCCTGAACCAGCTAACCACTGATGCTCCTGCTGTGAGGCCAGAAGATCCAGAGCATTCAAAATGTCTCGCATCTTTTTGACTTCCCCTCGTATTACATGTCCCACTAGACCTTGGAAGACAAATTATAGCTCTTCAGTTCACCACTGAATCTTAACATTTTTGTGCACAGCAAATGCCATTGTCATTAATTATCAATTAGCAGGACTAGCACAGAAGACAATACACTGCCTTTTGATTGGTCCAACCATAAATACTTCCTAACATAAGTAACAAACTTGTGAAACTGTCAGAATCAATAACTAACGAAGGAATCTAAGGTGGTTCTGTGCTGGAACAGATAACTCCTTCAGACAGTAAAATATAAACATCTACCACAGGTTTGAATGTATGTTTAAACTCTGCATGATATGCGACTCCCCTTGTTCTTTGTTTTATCTTTGCACTAAAAAACAACCACGAACCGTCATATTTTTGTGCCACACCTCATACTTTTTATGTCTCCCACCTTTATTAAACCACAATCATACTTTAATCTCCTTTAAAATAATGGTAAACGTCAGCCTGCCTACGTTTGGTCTTTAAAGTCTATACTCTCAAATAGCGCTCTCTCGCTCACATAATTGAATAATGACCATGTTTTACAGCAGGGTGTGGACTTCAAAGGACTTTTCTCCATAGAGACGAGCAGGTTAAAGGACAGAAAATGAATTATGGGCTGTGGTTCCACTGTCATGACCTGTAATAAAGACTTTTCCATGTCCTTCAGTGATTCTGGGCCCAAATGAACATTTCCAAGACAAAGAGACCAAATCCTACTGTCTGTGTGCGGATGAGGACGAGTGGAATGGAAGCTGTCTAGCTGTCGCCTCTCTGATGATAATAATAGCAGGTCTTGAAAGGTAATTGGGTAACGCTCTCACTGTAGTCCTTACCAAGCCAATGCATTGCATAAGATGAATCAGAAACTTGGTATGAATGGAAAACACACACACACACACACACACACACACACACACACACATGGATATCTCAAAAGCAGCCAGGTGCCCATCACTCATCCTGAAAACCAACACATGCAGGCACCCACACATTAGCATACATCGCCCCCTGTATGACAGAAAACATCCGTCTTACTTAGTGTGAATAATGTGACAGAGCTGTTTACAGGAAATAGCAGCTATTTTTTAGCAATCACTCAGATGAAAGATCAACAACTAACAGCTGACCTGTTAGCTGAAGTATTTAGTTGTCCCTCGGTGCCGCGAGAGACCCCAAGCGCAGCCTGTCCTATCTTGAAAGAGCTCATTTTTATCAGACGGGGCATCATCTGCAACCAATAGACGACCAACTCTTATGAAATGGGAGCCTGCTGGACAGATGTCTCCTGCCTCTCTTACTCTCTCTTTCTCCCCATTTGCATTCACATCTTTGATGGCACCTCTGGACTCAAGTCAGGATCAAGGTTGTTTACCGATTCTCTGGGTTATATCAGAGACATGTGCTGAGGGTACATGAAAGGAATCCAGCCACGTGTTAACACCCAGGAACCTCTGTGTGTGTTTGTTTTGACTTTTAAACAATAGCTTCAACATGAAATTAAGGGGACCCGCTTCCGGAGGGTTGCCTCAAGGTGACGCAGAACAGAAGCCAACGATCAAAATGTTACTTCAGAGTAGTTAGCCTCAAACGTCAAAGCTTTCCTGCATTGCCATCACATCAACCTTCATTGTTGGCTTCTTTAAGAATAAAATGTCAGAGGAATATTATCATGGTTGCATACGCTAAATGTCTAGAGCGGTGGTCTCCAACACATCAGGAACCCCAAACTGATGGAGAGATGGAACATATGCCTTATATAAAGAAATTATATAAAATTTTGCTTAATATTAAACTTGTCCTATTGCCACATGTAAATGTTATTTTTTAATTAACTGCTAAGCCAATAATATTAAAATTAATTAGTTGATTTACTTTCTATGTTCATTTTAAGTGAATATGATTTAGTGCCATTTCAAACCCTGCAGTTCCTCTGTCTCTTGTTGAAGGCCTTTGATATAAATTATTTGTTTCAAGGGTTTTTTCTGACCAATTTGTAACATCTCAGTTGTGTTGTTTATATTTTTACAGAGTTTCCACATCAGAACATTTTCAGCTTTTTTTTTTTTTAACTATAATTCTATAACCGTCAGGCTTTAGTTCTGCACCCTTTATGGGATTTAGTGTTGTGGTCAAGGCCCACAATCCCTGACCTGATGTCATGTGTTTTAGCGGCGGTGCTGTGCAGTATGCTGTGAAAGAGAGTGTGACAATTTAAAAGGAATTTGAGGAAACTTTTCCATTAAAATATAAAAGTTTTAAAGATGTGATCCTCTCCTTTGTTCTTCCAGGGAGGACCTCCACCTGTTTCTGATGATGTGAGCCAGAGCCTGTCCCTTTCAAGAGGCTGATCCCTCCTGATCTCTTTGATGTAACCTGACCTAACAGTTCCAACTAGCAGGATTTGATGATCACGGATGGATCCTTTGACAACAGCATGTGCAAATCAACACTAACAGGCATGGAAAGACGGACAATGGGGATGTATGAGCAGAATTGGCAGGCTGCGCAGACAGACAGCGTTCATAGAGCTATGATGTGTCTAAACGCCAGGCAGGCAACGGTCACATGATCGATGCTGCCAGCCCAGACTTAAGCAGTAAAACCTGTGGATTTGTGAGGGCACATGCAACTGATCGGAGATGAAAGACAGGCTTTGACTTTCACAGGAGGCCTGGAGTCAGGGTGGGGGCTGTGGGGGCACTTCTGAGGGACTGCCATCACAACAGCTGGGTCATTTTCAAATGACCTAATTCTAGGATTTATCCATTTGGACATGCATAGCTAAAATGGGTGACTTTGCTACGCACAGATAATGGCAGGCAGGGAAAAAGACAGACTTAACAGTGAGGGCCGTAAAAGCTTAGCACTCAGAGTTCAAACAAGGTGCAGCATGGGAAAACAAACTGTTGTGCAAAAACAGAAGCTACGTTTTCTAGCATCTCCGTCTCTGTCAAGACCGAGCGAGCGTGTTATAATCCCGCAACCTCTCACTCACTCCAGTCAGGGCTCTTCTGACACACCACCGGGGCATCGCTCCAAGACAAAGAGCGCGTTAGAGCCCAGCATCCGTCTGTGAGAAATTTAAAGGCTGGATTTTTGGAGATGACGTATGATAAAACAGGGAGGTATGGGTCAAAGTGACTAGACTCGATGTATGACAGAGCCTCTCCTCCTGGACCCTACCACATGTTTTAATCTATACAAGCATGTGTTTGAAGTTGGCAATGAATTCCATCAGCCCCGCTGGTGACTTCATGTTCATCTCACCTAGATCAGAGGACTTTAACGCCCTCTACCCACGTTCATCAACAGTAGAGCAGGATGTGAAGCAGCTTCACAGCTATGCCGTGACTAATTTTTTCCGATATTTAATCACCACATTATTTTGACAGCGATGAGCCTTTTTACTTACAGACTCGGTCGTTTTTTTCAGAAGTAAGTCTCAAAGAGTTGTGTTGTTTCAAGTGGGAGCTTAAGTAGGTGTTTTGGTGTATTTTCTATATTTTATACTTTTTTTCTAATACTCTTGAATCAGCTATACTTATTCAATCTGTCTTTTCCCATTATTGGATGATTGGAGGTATTCTTATTTTTATTCTATTATTTAGCTTACACAAATCTCATAAATCATGTGCTTAAACAATTTACCAATTTAATAAATATCATTAAATTACAATAGAATTTAATTTATATTACATAATTTTTTTTCCAAACTGACTTGTCTGCAGAAACAATAGTTTCCTTTAACTTAACTAATAACAGCATTGATCTTTGTCATGTGGCCAGAATAGAGAAACCAATACTCAAACGTGATGAAAAAAAATATTAACAAATAAATATAGTTCCTGTTTTGGTCCCAAATTTTAATTTGAAACATTTAGAATGACGCTCTGCTTTGTTCCAAAGGAAAGTTTACCTCAACCATAAAGAAAGATTCCTGTGAAAAGTCTGGCTTCCCATCAGGATGCTGTGCTTGACTTAAAATATACAGTAGACCAGGAAAGTTTGGAAGAGACTGAAGTGGGAGAGGGAGGAGGCGAGACAAGGGGGGAGAAAGACTGATGGTTGCTTTGATCTTTGGAGGCCTGTGTGGATTTAAAAAAGGGTAAAAAAAAGTGTTCAAGTGACTTTTTTTCAACCTTTGGAAAAAAAGGGGGATAATGATACTGTCCAAACAATATCGTTTCACTTAATAAAATATATAATAATAATAATAATAATAATAATAATTTGTGTGGTGGGTGGAGTGTTCCTGGCCATGCCTGCTGTGTTGATCACGTTTTGTTTTTGTTCCCACTTGATTTGGGGGCAAGTGTGTTCCAAGATGCCTCTTCTCACTTCATAAACGTGCGGTGCAATGGGAAATGGGCATTTCAAGGCCAATAAAAGCCACCACATCAAATGAAACATCGCGGATCAAAAGAACCAACGCATGGGCATTTTTTCCTTCTATAAATTAAAAAGGGGGGCAAGTCTGCCACGCTTGATCATGCCCCGAGTCCTGCCCCGCTCCTGCGATTGGCTGGACGGACGCACAAGGGGGGAAAGTTTGAATAAAATACAAGAGCATGGCACGAGTGTTGTTGTGCGGGGCTTGTGCGCTTGGATTCTGTCAGACAGATGAGCGAGGAGTGCAGCCTGAAATACATCCACGGAATCCAGCGGACGCTCGTGACTGATGTCTAGAGGACTGGTGATTTGAACTGACATCACATCTGTGCACACTCGGAGCAGCGGATGCGTAAACGCTCATTCTTAGCTCCATTTGTTTATTTAAAAAGAAGAAACTTTCTTAAAAGTTGCTTTTGGAGAACAGGCGTCTGAGCCGAGGATAGGATGACCGCAATGAGAGTGCTTTCATCAGTGCTGCTACTGGCGCTGATGCAGTCCGGAGCTCATTGCGCACGGAGGTTCCGCGGCGGCCGCAACCCACAACCACGGCGCACACCACCACCTCCTCCTTCTTACCGGTCCGACCGGGGTGACACCACGGAGAGCTTCCCTCTGGATTTCACCGCCGTGGAAGAGAACATGGATAACTTCATGACACAAGTCAAGAACCTGGCGCAGTCCCTGTACCCGTGCTCGGCGCAGAAGCTCGACTACGACATGAAGCTGAACTTTTTGGAAAATACGTCAGTCACCTGCAACGACGGAAGTCCTGCGGGGTATGTAGAGCATGGGGGAGACATGGCAATGTGTTAGCTCAGGATGTGACAACATGTGAGTGAGTGAGTGAGTGAGTGAGAGGCAGGTCAAAGCTGGGGCAGCTGTGCGCCCTGTAGCTTCAGGTGTTGGTATTTTACTTAAAGAGCACTCGTCCACGGCGCAGCTCGCCCTACTGGACACCCTGCAGGCCGAAGTAAACACATGATCTACCTGTCGTGACAACAGTAAATTTTCTCCTCATAAACAATATTACAAGTCAATTTTTATGTTGAAATTACAAAAATTAACCACAATGCGCCAGGATGGAGCCATGTCCTTAGAGGACAGGCAGCCTCGGGTAAAATGTGCCGATAACCACCTGATCTAAACTGAACATCTCATTTGCAGATTCGTGACTCCAGGTCTTTAGCTGGTGTATCGGTTTTTAGTGGATGCGTCCACTTGGTTCTTGATAAAAGTAGTGTAAAAGGTTCAATTTACTGTGACACTCAACGCTACCATTGGTAATAATCAATAATCCGTTTAACACCAATTAACTAAAACTTCTGTATGACCTGTATTTAAAACTAATCAGCTATAGTATAAACTTTTTAAAACTATTTCCTGTTCAAAAATACACCACTGAACTTGGATCTCTATTGCGGGTGGGAATTACTTGCATATTTATCTGGTAAATTCTCCCAGTGCCAAAATGCCATCATAATATTCTGGATCCTAACAGTAAAGTTCTGCGCCACACTAAAAAGAGATGTCTTTAAAGCCTGGCCACATGAGGCTTTAACAAGGCTTTGATGACATCAGGCAGCAGTGAAGTAATGGCCAGACATGATTGTAGAAATGGGTTTTGATATGCATGTCTTTTTATGGATCTCTCATCCTGTGTAATTCCTGTTAAACCCCAGAGTGCTCTGTAGGAGGGCTCTCTTTTAGAGCAGTAAAGCTCTTAGCTGTTTAAGAGAAGCAACATGAGGACAAGCACCGGGGTCAGTTACTGGCAGATGGCTGTTTTATTCACAGCTGGGGCTGTTGAATTCCTAATCCATCAGTTACAGTTGTCAGAGACAAAACGAGGATGCAACAATAAAAAAGAAAAAAAGAAAAAAAAACAGCCAGCTAACTGCCGCAGCTGCACTTGTTCCAGTGAGTGCTTTGAGCAATGCCTTTCCTCCTCGGCTTCTTTGATTTCCACTTTGTTGTTTGGTAATGGAGTTCATGCCAGTCCTCAGCCTACATCACTGACTCTGGCTCACAGTAATAGTACATGACATGAACAGTAGCCAAATATGAATCAGTGTCTGAGGAAATTGTTCAAATCCTCAGCCAAGTTTGTGCTTTCTCTTGGGATTACTAGTCAGTGTTAGAGTTACAGGCAGTGAAGAAAGGCCAGTCCAGGTCACTGTCACTGCTGCGCCTCATCTATTACCAAAGAACTCAATGGTTATTATTCTTACAGTCTGAGTCACGTAAGTAATTGTTGGAGTTCATCTTTGGCTCTTATGAATAACAAATTATTTCGACTACCACCTCTATCAGAGCCAGTGTTTTTAAATGCTGATGCTCCTGTGATTTCTCTTATCATACGGATTTCAGAGGAAGTAATTCACTGAAGCCGCAAGGCATCCACTTTTTTTTTGTTTTTTGTTTTTGTTTTTTTGTTTTTTTGGTTGAGGAATCCAGTTCTGTGCAGTGCTGCTACTGTGTTTACCCTCTCTCTTCAGTCACGGACTGCAGATTCAGGGACATCATTTTTGACGACACATGACATTGATACTAGGCTGAACAAAGACACCAATGTCATTCTGCATCTTCAGCCCGTAGAGGAGTGAGCAAAGTGAAGTTCATCTCAAGATCAGTTTCCTCTCTGCCTGTTCCTGGAGATAGCCATCCAACAGCAGGACACGGTTGATTATATCCAAACGGTGGTGTTGTGTGTTTTGGTTTCATGCTTGGATACCATCACAGATGGTGGAAAGAGTGACGACATTACTTTGTCTCCACAAACAATAATAAAAACGGTTGACCGGGTTTTATACCTGTCTGTTTTCAGCAAAAACACAACGGAATTTCTGATTTTTCTGATTTTTTTTTTCGCTCTTTGTCTTGAAGGTACTACCTGAAAGAATCCCGAGGCAGCAGACGGTGGTTGATCTTCTTGGAGGGTCAGTATTTAAATTCCTCTCTTTGTGTTCATTTTTGGAATGATGTGAAAGTTAAAGATTATATATGTTGTGTGTTTTTGCATGGCCATTCCCAGGAGGTTGGTACTGCTTCAATAAGGAGAACTGTGACAGCAGATATGAAACCATGAGAAGGTTGATGAGCTCATCCAAGTGGCCCCAAACCAAAAAAGGTCAGCATCAGAAACATGGCACCGCCGTGCCCTACAGTAAATGTCCCTGAGAAATGAAAAAGGATCAGACTGATCCGTGGTGTCATTAAGACTGACACCAAGTGTACGGCTACCTGGCGCCCACCAGCGCAGGAACAGAGCTGCCACCCTCTGTCATTGGGATGTAATAACTGTAATCCATGTTGTAATGATGAGGAGGAGGAAGAGGATGTGCCTGGGAGTGCCAGGATGGGTAATGATATGTGTCGATGTGTCTCTGCAGGCACGGGAATCCTGTCTCCACTGCCGGAGGAAAACCCGCACTGGTGGAACGCCAACATGGTGTAGGTTGACTCGGTTTCGTGTGATTACTGACACTTCCTTTGTAATCTTAAATAAAGGCCTGACCGAATTTCTCTTGGTGTCACAGGTTTATTCCTTACTGCTCCAGTGACGTGTGGAGTGGCGCTACAGCCAAGACTGAGCAGAGTGAGACATTACTGACAGATGGACATTAGAACACAAGCGTGTCTCCGTCTAGTGCTAGATAACAGTGTTGTGTTTGGTCTCACCCGTAGGTGGCTATGCCTTTATGGGCTCACTGATCATTCAAGAGGTGGTGAAAGACCTGCTGACCAAAGGTCTGGACAACGCCAAGGTTCTGCTCCTGGCTGGGAGCAGGTGTGTTCATGTTCAAGTTTCATAATCTACATTTCATCCACATTCCTGTAAAGGTTGGCTGAACTTGTTGTGGAAATTTCATTCAATATGTGTGTGTCTGTGTGTGTGTGCAGCGCTGGTGGCACCGGGGTCCTGCTGACCGTAGACCGAGTGGCAGAACTTCTAGAAGGTCTAGGGCACACAGGGATACAAGTGCGAGGTCTGTCAGATTCCGGCTGGTTCTTGGACAACAAGCAGTATCACTGCCCAGACTGTGTGGACACTGTCACTTGTTCCCCCACGGAGACCATCAAAAGAGGCATCAAGTAAGGCAGCCAATCACCACACAGCACTGCTGTAGGGAATATTTTAGCTGCAGGTGATGAGATGATGAAATATGTGGCAACCCTAATATTTCCCCAGCACTGAATCTGTCTTGCTCCGTCAGGTACTGGGGAGGAATGGTGCCTGAGAGATGCAGGCAGATCCATCCAGGGGAGGAGTGGAACTGTTTCTTTGGATACAGAGTGTTTCCATCCATTAAGAGTGAGTCCCATTTACTCAGATGTAAAATATATGAGCTGTGAGTTTGTTGGTTTGATTGGTTTTTGAAAAGATGAAATGTTTAATCAGGCCATGTAATCTTTATTTACATGGCACAGGGTGATACAATATAAAAATGTTTAGCGTATGAATTTTGTTTTATTTATTTGTGTACATTAGAGCTCCTTACATTAGAGCTCCTTCTGGCTGGTACTTAAGGGGGGTTATAAATTATTTCCATTTTCTACTGAGTACTGGGGACCTACTGGGTATAATCTTTACTTGGTACTAGGTCAGGGTAAAAACTAAAATATAATTTATAATAGCAGCTTTTGCTCCATCTCTGCATCAGTTCTGTCTATGGCCTTAAAAACACTGTCAGTCACTTTATCTACAACGTGTTTTCAATGTTGTCCCTAATTCTCCCATCCACATTGTGTAGGTCCAGTGTTTGTGGTCCAGTGGCTTTTTGATGAGGCCCAGTTGACAGTGGACAACATCCAGCTCACAGGTCAACCTGTGCAAGAGGGTCAGTGGCGCTACATCCAGAATCTGGGTATAGAGCTAAGGAACACCCTCAAAGATGTGCCGTAAGTTAAATCATCACTTTATAGGAGGACAGTTTATTTAGTATTACTGCACAGATTCTGAGGAAATTGTTTTTTGATTTTTTTTTAATCATTTAGGGCCATGTTTGCACCAGCATGCCTATCGCATGAGGTCATCAACAGAAAGTGAGTATAACACCATTTAGTCACCTATCTTCCTAGTGCATATTCGTATGGGTATTCAAAACGTGTGTGAGCTGACACTGCCCCCATGTGTTGTGTTTCAGCTACTGGATTGACGTGCAGGTTAAGGGCACCTCCTTGCCCCGAGCTCTGCACTGTTGGGACCGGAGTCTCCATGACAACCGGAACAACAAGGCCCCGCCCAAAGGCTGCCCTGTGCATTTGATTGACAGCTGCCCGTGGCCCCACTGCAACCCCACCTGCCCCACCATCAGAGACCAGTTCACAGGGCAGGAGATGAATGTGATTCAGTTCCTAATGCACATGGGCTTTGATGTGCAGAAGATGGCTCAGCAGCAAGGCATGGACCCCAGCAAGCTACTGGGCATGCTCAGCAGCGGCAGCTAAAGGCACACACGCTTACGTGCCCAGTATCTCCAAGCTAAGCCCGAGCAGGGTCGCCTGGTCTCTGTGGCCAGACTCCAATGCCTAATACCTCCATAACCATCCACTTTCACAACCTATTCACCTTTGTTCCTCTCTAGGCTCCAGGTTTCTATAGTCACAACCTCAGTCATACAAAGGGGGCTCACATCCGCCCCCCACTCCTCTACTCTAATGTATGAGTTAGAGATGCTGGGAAGGGCGATTGCGGGGCGACACGTCACGACAAGGCACAACTTTCTGCTACTCCTCCATTTAAATTATCTTTTGCTTTGTAAAAGAAAAAAAATATCACAATGCAATCCAGTTTTAAGGATACTCAGTGATGTTCTGTTCTATGTTATTTTAATCCCTACGTAGATTATGTTTAGTCATTGTTTGAAGAAAAAAAAGAAAATAAGAAAATGCCACAATGGCATAAGGATGCTGTCTTTGTTAGTCACCACAGACTATATAAAGATATAATATTGTTAACAGTAACATGCAGATACTCAAATATCTCAAACAGGTTAGTTGAGGAAAGCACTGGATCCAGAAGAACACAGATCGCAGTGCTTTGATATTTGAAGCACTGGACTCAATTTCAAGAAAATTATATACCAAATTTTTCATATTGTCTTTATTTCATTATCAAAAGAGTGGCCACTAATGCATACTCCCTACAGCCTGGAAAACACAATGAAAAACAAATTATTTCACAGTTTAAAAAAAACTCTATGAAGCCAAATATTAACAATTTCAATATTTAAACAATATGCTGCATTATTTATGATATAATATAATTTCCATGTATGTGCTTATTGGCATTGTTAACTCTGACACAGGCCAACACGCTCATTAAAGATAGAACAAGTAAAAAGACAAACACCTTATTTATTGTTGTGCCCCTACCCCCCGTAGACACAAGCCTTTTCTGACTGTGTTGGATTCAAAGTGGCTTACACTCGAGAGCTGTGAACATGCCGTCACGGTTGGGTTTCAGTCGTGCTCTGAAGCCCATCGAGGTGCTTAGGCAGACCGCGGAACTGTTCTGAGGTCTGTCATTAGCTAAACATACACCACAGTGCCATCACATCTACTCTATACCTCCGTATGACAGGTCGCATCATCACCAGCCGACTTTTCAGACCCCAACCGGGGGGAAATATTCCCGTTAGGTCACCTCAGTAGATCCTCCGATCAATGCAATGAACATTCAAAGGGAGAAAAAAAAATACTGTGTAATGTATATTTTTATGACTATTTGTACAGGTTCTTTTTAAACCCTGCAGCTCCCTTATTGTATTTCATATAGAGATCACTTTTTAATATAATGACAATGTTGTATGTAATGTCTTTATAAATGATTTTTTAAAGGACCTCTATTTTTCATCAGACCAGAGAAGCAAAGGTATTACAAATTGTAATTTTATTCTGTAACATATTTTTTTTAACAGAAACAAAAACTCAAGCTATAATGGCAATTTGCATATTTATTTTGTTATGTAAATCATATTTATAAGTGCTATTTTCACAGAGAAGTGATTCTTTGTAAATTGTAAATACATTGCTGTTTTCTTTTCTTTGTGTTGATTGCATGTCTTTGTATTGGACCTGAAAGAAACGTCACATTACATATAAAAGAATATTGTTGTTCAGTCGTGTTTTTGCTCTTTTGTAGCTATAATTGTCATCAGAGGAAATGCTACTGGTGGTAGGAATGTGTCAAAACTTCTAGCAACAAATAGTTTTTCTTTTATCCTAGAAGACCACGGTTTGAATCCGGCCTACTGACGCCATCTAGTGCCGGCCCCAACGCCAGATAAGGGGTAAGAGTGGTGTTCATATGGGCAACAGGTGAGAAAACATTCCACTTTCACTGTGTGTACTCTACCAGCTGTTGACGCCCCCTCAGGCCCCTTCCCCAAATAGGCTTTGTTTACCTTTATTTTAATCTGGCCATTAGTCTTCACTGTGCTTCAGGGCAAGGACCCTCTTGTATTTAATATTAAAACTGGGCTTATTATCAAATATTTATAACCATGGTTATTTTATAAATGTAAAAAGTATAAATTGTCTAATCAAGTAAAAACCTGATGCCAACAGCAGGACTTTTTAAGCTAAACTGAGAGCTACTTTAATAGTACTTATTAATATGAAGAACTGTGTGTTTGATACAGACTTCCCGATCCATTAACTAATAATAATAATAAATAACTAAATAATGCTGCTCCATCAGTTCTGGGATGTACGATAGCAGACATTCGTCTTACCATTGTCACTGCAACCATTTGAACATCATTGCAAGTGTACTTGATTCAAAAAGAAGAGCACCATTTTTGACTACTGTATTTTCTAGACTATAAGTCACAAACCCAGCCAAGGGATGAAAAAAGTGTGACTTATAGTCCGTGAACTATGTCATTTTTTTATTTTAAGAACATACCCTACAGACACCATGGTAGCTACAAGGTCCCCCTTGGCATTACGTTGCTGACCCCTGGTATAGAGGCTGCTACCAATGCGTGACAAACTTTAAAGCTACATATCAGACTGGTTGTTGTTCTACCAACCACCTAGCAGAGGTACATCAAAATCACAGCATACTAATATAACACAGATTAAGGTATTTATAGCAACATGCTAATCCACTTCCACTTCCCTCTCATATGTGTAGCTCAAATCTGTCATCACTTGTGTATAATCATTCTTCTGGACTTGTATGTAATTTCTGCCTCTAATGTGAGTCTCAGCCTCCTGCCCTGTCATTACACAGTGTATAAATGCCAGTTTCTTACTGAGGGAGCTCTGACTCAGCCTCTCTGGATGCACCCCTTGAAATACGAATCTCACCCTCCCTGCCACATGTAGTCTCCCACCCCTCTGTGGAATATAGACCCCCTATTTATAGACCTGGCAAGCCATGTAACCCTGGGCTGGGCAAAAACTTTCATTTAAACAGCCAGTGCTTAGCAATCCAACACGAGCACACGAACACACACGCATACACACACGTACAGAAAGGACTCATAGGAGGGAATGGGTGTGTGTTTATGCGAGTGAGAAAGAGTGGGAGACAAAATCCAAGAAGAAAAAGAAGACAGAAACTGTGAGGGACTGCGTGACATACCGAGCCACCTCTGTGAGGGGATTCACGGCAGCAGCGAGGAGCCTGAACTGAAGAAATTACAAGAACGTATTCTTGGAGTTATGGGACGTGATTGACAACACAATAATCTGCTCCACCTGTTCTGCACCGCGGGCTATTGTTGGAAGACAAACAACCGACAACCGACAAAAGAAAATCCTAATCGGACAAACCTTCCAAAGAGTGACCCACTGGAAGAAAGAAGAAGACATTTTCGAGGAAATACGTTGCAGCTTTGAGTTAGACTGGAATCACAGGATTGGTAATAAAAAACAGAACCCTGCATTATTTTATTTATACGGTCAGTAGCTCAGTAAAGGCAAACAATTGTCTATAATCCGTTTAATGCCAAGGTGTAAGTCAATGTTCTTTACTTAAACAAACGTCTGTCCAAACGTCTGTACAACACTGTTTAAATGTTACGTAAACACAGTGCTGTAATTACAAACCAAGCTCGGTGAAAAATTTACAGACATTTGTAATTAAGGACCATCTATAAAAGGCAACCAAGGAAAGGGTGAGGTCGGCAGGGAGGGGAGAGTAGGCCGCAACACACCGACAGAGAACAGAAGAAGTGAAGGAGTTCACTGAGAAAACAGCTGCTCCTGGGGGAGAAGGCAGAACATGGATCCTCATGGAGGACACTACCTCAACAAAGACGCTGTGCTGTCACCTTTGGGTGCAGTGCGAATAAGTCAGCTGCTGCTTGGTTGCACTATAATGGCCCTCGTGTCGCACAGCGCAGGCTACAGCGCCACCTATGGACACTTCTGCATGTTCGTCTGGTGCTTCTGCTTCGCTGTGACGCTGGTCGTGTTCACCTTGGACATCACGCGGCTCCACACGTGCATGCCCATATCCTGGGACAACTTCACCGTGGCCTTTGCCATGTTGGCGACGCTCATGTACATCACTGCCTCCGTGGTCTACCCTGTCTACTTCCTGGATAGCGAGTGCTCCGGTGACAGCTGCGAGGTCCAAATCTACCGCATCGCTGTCACAGTCTGCTCCAGTATCTGTTGTTTCCCATACGGAGCAGAGGTCTTCTTAACCCGAGCCAAACCTGGAGCCGTGGTGGGCTACATGGCCACCGTGTCTGGTCTGCTCAAGGTGGTGCAGGCTTTTGTGGCCTGCATCATCTTCGGTGCACTGGCTGTTGACACTGACTACAACAAATACATAGCCACCCAGTACTGCGTAGTAGTGTTCAGCCTGTGCTTCTCCGTGACCGTGATTGTCATCGTACTGACAGTTTCTGGAAGAACCTCATCCCTGCGCTTTCCCTTCGACCGTTTTGTAGTCGTCTACACCTTCCTGGCTGTGATCCTCTACCTCAGCACTGCACTGGTCTGGCCCATCTTCAGCTTTGACAAGAAATATGGCACCACGTCTCGTCCTTACTACTGCCCACGTGGAGACTGTCCCTGGGACAGCAAGCTGGTGGTGGCGGTCTTCACCTGTGTCAACGTAGTCCTTTATTTCATTGATCTGGTTTACTCTCAGAGGATCCGCTTTGTCACTAACGCCCGGGTGTAAAACAATTACTCACCAAGAGTTTTTTGAACCAGTGAAAAACAGTCGAACACGATGGACTACATTGAATCTTGAGTGAATTTATGTTTTTGTAACAGAAGTCAATGTTTTTTTGTTTTACCATTGTAACATTAGGCTTCAGTGCTAGACTGTTACCCATGATGCAGTACGTGCTCAGAATTTGAATTCCTTACCAATTTTGCAGTGATCTACCAGGAAGAACATATCGGCACTTTAAAGTTAACGTCAGACAAGAAGGACTTTGGAATCATGTCCAAACCTCAGCTTTAAAACTTTCTCTAACTTCCTCTGGAGAGATTATTATGAAGAGTTAGGTTTTAGAACAGTTCCATGGAGGCCATATGGTGGAAGAGTGGTTAGTGCTTTTGCCTACAGCAAGAAGATTATCAGTTCAATCCTGCATGGTACTTTCTGGTCTTTTTGGTATGTATGTTCTCCACTCACTGTGGTTTTCTCCTACAGTCCAAAAACATTCAACAGTTCAGTCTAAACTGGCTATAGATATAGGTGGGAGTGTGTGGTTTGTTACGTGGTTCTTTGATAGACTGGCTTACTATCCACAGTGTAAGGCTGGAGCCAACCCCATGGAGCCCTGCTCCCACTCCCTGAAAAGGATTAAGCAGCAGAAGACAAAAAATACATTTCCAAGTATTTAAACTATTTATAATTGTTTTAAAGTCTATAACGTCTTTTGGAGAAGCCCATTTGGGAGCAGTCTTCAGTAGGCACTGAAGACTGCTCCCTTCTTGGTTCCAGACCCATCGTTTCAATCGTGCAGTTAGCATATTTTGTCACAGCTGCTGCCCACACCCAGGAGTAAAGTTAGCTCCGAGGAGATGGCATGTGGAGGAGACGAGTTTGTTTGTCAGGGAGCAGAGACGTCACCAAGATGCTTTTCATGAAATATTGCCTTGCTAAACCCCAAAGAATTCACGTACACGACAACAACCTCTAACACTGTGTCTTTGGCACACTGTGATAGCAAACCCTCACTCAGAGGACAAGAGCCTGTGGACTTTATTAAACAGTCAAACTATAACTATCTCATCTGTTACGCTGGCTAACACCAGGTCAACAACGTGCAACAAATGTTCCTTTTGTTTCTGATCCTGCAGTTGTCAGTCTTTCCATATATGTTATTTTGGAAAATACAAGAAAATGATTTGTCTGTTAAACAGAAGGATTTTGACTTTTGCTAGTCACCGAAACGTTTTGCTTTTGTGGTTAGGGTTAGGAATTTTAATTTTACTTTTGAAGTGATACTTAATGAAAGCACGGTTGACTTTGTGCAAACAAGGAATACATATTTGCCCTCCTTCTTTTAGTGTATTATGCTAACTTAGCCCCTAGGTACAGGAACATATATATTTTTTAATTGTAATTGGCCATGTCATGCTTTTATTACGGGTAAATATCCAAAGGTTATAATTGCATATTCCCCACAGAAAATAAAAATAAATATATATATACATGCCTTTGTTTATACATATGATGAGGATCATTTTGTTGTAGTGTAAAATTCAAAAGTACTGCTACATATAACTACTAAAGATACCAATGAGTGTCATTTTGTAAAAAAAAACAAACAACAAAAACGACCTAGTCTAGGTATAGGTACATATGAGATGAATTAGGTTTGTGTAGTTTCCAAAGATTCTGGGCACTAAGTCCCTGTTTTTAGTCATGACCTGGTCATTATTGCTGTCTTTGAATATTAAAGGTATCAGACAGAAGTTTACTGGAGATTTTGTTTTGAAGTTTGTTTTTTGTGTTATATTTTTGTTCATTATGTGATCAATAAAACCCTTATATAAAGTGTTGTATTATGATTTCGCATCACTTTATTTTTTAATGTCTATATTGGTTGTTTCTAATACAGTATTTGCTGTTTTTAAAGTAAAACATTAATTCAACTTCATCAGAAGTGCTAACTTGTGACCCAAATACATATAGTCACAAGTTAGCATATATACACAGCATATATACACGACTCAACTGAAGCTTTCCTACTCTGGGGCGTTTCCTGATGCAACTGCTGTTTTGGAACCCAGGCAGCCATCACGATTGGTCAAGAGTGTCACATGCTCGTTAACTCGCGCGTTTATAGGCTTTTTGTACCTGTCGGTCAAACAGGCAGTACAGTGGAGTAACAGAGGCAAATAGTGGCGACACGTTGCCAGAGGTGTTCTCTTTCAGGTACGTTGTGTTCGGATCTTTAGTCGTTGAACTGCAGGATTCTGTCGTTAAGGGTAAGTTGTTTCAAACTATTGAAAACATTGAAGTTGTTACGGTTTGTACAGAGAAGACGACTGGCTCGACAAGGAAGTGTGTTTACTACCGAAAAAACTCAAGACAGAGGCTGTAAAAATAAACAGACACACTGGGTCAGATATTAGACGGATCCAAAATGTCTTTTTTTTTTTACTTCGAGTTCTTCTAGAACCTGACAGCATTTGGTCTGAATCCACACAGGTACCATGAGTGTGGGCTTCATCGGAGCGGGTCAGTTGACCCACGCCCTGGTCAGGGGCTTCTCAGCTGCAGGTCAGGTTTGAACCGCATTCTTTCATCCGGTCATGAGTTGTTTTGTGAAATCTTTTGGCTATCAGACTCTGTAAATTACGTATGCAAACTGTAGGCCCGCGGGCCAAATACGTCCAGTCAACGAATTTCAAAAGACCAAGGACACAACCATTAAACAAAGAGCAACATTGTTTTGACCTTATTGGATGAGTTAGTATTTATAACAATTGTGGCCATTGTGTCACAAGTCTATATCCGTTATATCTGCTATATCTATATTCTGTTTTTACTATAACCAAACTGCAGCTGTGTGCTGCTTG